CATTAATCAAAGATCATAAGGTTTCGATAATCCTGTATTCATTAATCATTGAGACAGACTTTCGCAAAGCATTGTTGTCCTTGTTGTTGTGTGCATGAAATTCGCTAAAATAGATTGGTTTCAGTGGGGTCGATTGGATTTCTATGGTATGCTTCAAACGTACTCAATTGTGGAAATTTTACGATCGAGAATTTATGACTTAGAAGATATGCAATATCAGGTGATGGAACTCGAGAAAGAAACTGGTTGGCATTGTTCATAGCGTTATTCCACGCGATAAATAACGTTCTCTTACGATTGCGCCTCTATTCTCTGCATGATTCTGGTGCGATAGATGTTTAGATGGTGTTCTGTTCAAAGAATAGTTCTTTGTTGTTGTGATAATGATGCTGATTCAGGTAAGCAAGCAGCGATTATTAATGTGCTGGATATGACTAATTTGAAATACAATAAACAATTATTGCAAATGGTTTATGGTCCATTGAGGAACCTGGCTGACTTCGTAGCCATGCATTATGTTGAACTATTCAAATATTTTGTCGTTGTCAACGTACCGTCGTTTGTTTACGCCTTATGGACGGCCATAAGACCGCTTCTTCCGGAACGAACTCGAGATAAGGTCACTCATTTGTTGGCTTCTTATCAGTCGCTAGTTGTTTTATGCCTTGAAAACGGTGAAACATCTCTTAACGTCCACTTATCGAGCGTTACAATAAAATTCACTTGAACAATCAATCAGTACTGCAGCAAATAAGCCTCAAATACGTGGATCTGATTGTGAGTGAAATATGAATCGATTTCGAAGCATTTTCACTGATTCTATGCATCAATTTGAGCATAGCAATGGATTGATTGATATGAATTGATACGTAAACTCAACTTAATGTAGATGATCAACGATCACTGCTTAAGCTCATTATATATTCGCAGTTAACAAAAAATATAACTCCTCGAAAACATGATCAGTTGCATGCAATCAGTTTTTGAATGAATATTCATTTTTAGGTGAGGATATTGAGTTCATCGAATTGGCGATCTGAAATATTGGAATATGCAAGCGTAGATGTACTTCCAGCATTCTGGAACCTTCCGGGTGATGATCAATTCAAAGCAGTCGTTGAGCTTCCGAGACCGTTTGACGAGAACGATTATTGCTCGAAAAATTTCAAGGTTCATAATGACGAATTAATGAAGTCATAAGCACACACCCATATTATGGACTGAGAAGAGATCAACCAAAATGCCTACCTATACTCATTCAATTAAACAATCACGAGTATTCATTTCCAAATTTTTGGAAAAGTTTTCATTGGCTCCGTTGAAAGAAAATGATATTTCAATCAGTTGATTGCATCAGTCTGTGATATTGAAGTATTGAGATGTGTTACGTAACGGCGATTGAACAACTCAAACACGTCACGCTAAATTTATAGAAGTGTCATTAAGGTACCGAAGGGAGCCATGAAACTACGTGTTCCAGCGGGTGAATTGCAGTTTATAACCATGCAGCTCGACGTCGGTCAGAAATTGTCGTGGTGGATTATGGCAGATAGAGATTTTGGATTCGGTGTATTTTACACTGAGGATCTGAGTGAAACTGATCCTACTAAGCAAGTTTTTGCGACAGTTTTGATCTCCTTTAAACGAATGGTCCGGAAATATTCAACGATTGCAATTTGAAATTGAGAATCCCGCAAAACGTGAACCGAATTGATGCACCGTCAAAGATAAACAAGAAACCAATATGACTTTCTTATAGATATCACAACTATGCTAGATGAGGTCCCAATTCTTTTGTTAGAGATGATGAAAGTCTACTGCTTCGGTACTATCATAACATTCGTTAGCATTGCTTTTAACGTTTTAGATGTTGAAAGCACTCTTCTTATTATTAGTCTTAGCACTGTTATAGAAAGTTTCAAAATTATTGAACAGTTTCAGGATGCAAACCATTTACCCAATGTTGGGATGGTTACCAGGTCCACTGAATGTACCTTTGCAAGATTCGATAACAGCCCAAAGAAATGGCCATTATAAAGTATTGTTTACGAATAGTCGTGCTTGGTGGCATACTTTAAACGCAACGTATGTCATTGAAATCGAATAATCTCAACTGACCCATTCGTGTCATCCTTATTTTCTCCGACGTGTATTATAAATATATGTTTTGAATACTGTCACACCATTCAATTCAACAAACATCATCAAACTGATCTCAAAAAAAAATTAAATCCTAACTAATGAAGTTTCTCTAAAATCTCAAACGAACTGTTCCCCAACTATCATCGAAATCAATGATTGGCTGGATTTTGGCCCTAGATCTCAGGAGTTTAAACTGGAAACATCGCCTCAATATCTGATACGCTGAATTACAAAACCAAAATTCATTCTGAGATCTTTTTATCGTTTAGCTTTTTGATGGTAGGCTTAAAATCGAGATAAAATGTCGTGAACTAGTGGGTCATAATCAGAACTTATTTGATTGAGAAGTATTCTGTGAATTGTGTGAACAAATTAAAATTAGCACATTTATGTACTCATCACCTTGAAACATAAGTACATAACGTCCATGTACACCAAGTGAGTTACAAAAGCATATTTTTGTAAGATGAAATGATCAAAGATACATAAATGCGCAACATGAGGAAAGTAGCGATTCCTGGCAACAGATTAGTTAGAACTGAATAGTTTCCTTTGGGCAGATGATTATTGTTTGATAAAAATGAGCAATGAGTTTGAATTCAGTTACTAAGTTGACTCATAAGATTGGTTTTGGGTTACATAAGATGATGAATGAATGAGACATAGGCACTTGTATGTATAGCCAGTTGAGCGAGACGGCTTAGAAGCACTTGCGGTGAACAATTGATGGGCCTGATTCGTCGTATTCTTGCTTCGAGATCCACATCTGAAGTTATCAGTTAGATCGGTTGATGAGATATAATAAATAGCAATAATGTGATCGAAATTGACGGAGAAATCAACTGGACAATGGCGATTGATTCGAAAAGATTGTTCAAATACGAGTCAGTGGAATATGAATATCTCAGAATAATTGCTGAGCGAAGGAGTGAATGATTTACCTGTTGGAAGGTGGACAGGGAAGCAAGGATGGAGCCACCGATCCATACGGAGTATTTGCGTTCTGGTGGTGCGATGATCTTGATCTTCATGGTGCTTGGTGCGAGGGCGGTGATTTCCTTCTGGAATTTATTTATAATTGTCCAAGATATTGTTTAATAATTCTTTTTGTTATCATTATTATAGAATAGAAGCGTACCTGCATACGATCAGCAATTCCAGGATACATGGTGCTACCACCAGAGAGTACATTGTTGGCATAAAGATCTTTACGAATATCAATATCGCATTTCATGATACTATTGTATGTCGTTTCATGGATACCAGCAGATTCCATCCCGATGAACGATGGCTAAAATGAGATGATTTGAAGCGAGAGTTAGATGGAGTGGCTCAATGAGATATACCTGGAAGAGAGCCTCAGGGCATCGGAATCGCTCGTTACCGACGGTGATCACTTGTCCATCGGGAAGTTCATAGGACTTCTCAAGCGAGGACGACGAAGCAGCAGTGGCCATCTCCTGTTCAAAGTCAAGAGCCACGTAACAGAGCTTCTCCTTGATGTCACGAACAATCTCACGCTCAGCCGTCGTCACAAATGAGTAACCACGCTCAGTGAGGATCTTCATGAGATAATCAGTGAGGTCACGACCTGCCAAATCGAGACGCAGGATAGCGTGGGGCAGGGCATAACCTTCATAGATGGGTACCGTATGAGTGACACCGTCTCCTGAGTCAAGCACCACTCCAGTTGTACGACCGGAAGCGTAGAGCGAGAGCACTGCCTGGATTGCCACATACATAGCGGGTGTATTGAACGTCTCGAACATAATCTGAGTCATCTTTTCTCTGTTTGCCTTCGGGTTAAGAGGTGCCTCAGTGAGCAGTACGGGATGCTCCTCGGGAGCAACTCGTAACTCGTTGTAGAACGTATGATGCCAGATTTTCTCCATATCGTCCCAGTTCGTCACAATACCGTGTTCGATCGGGTACTTCAGAGTCAAGATACCTCGTTTCGACTGAGCCTCATCACCGACATATGAGTCTTTCTGACCCATACCCACCATCACACCCTGCAATTGTATTTATAC